GAGGGCAGCCGCCTCCCACCTACATGTGGGGGGACAGGTTCTGACTGTGGTCTGTGCAAACTACAGTTCACACTACCCACCCTTTTTGGAGACCCTGGAGGGGGTGCTGGAAAGCGTTCCTTCCGGTGACTCCCTCGTTCTGCTGGGGGACTTTAACGCTCAAGTGAGCAACATCAGTGAGACCTGGAGAGATGTGGTTGGGAGGAAAAGCCCCCCTGATCTGAATTCAAGTGGTGTTTTGTTATTGGACTTCTGTGCCAGTCATGGATTGTCCATAATGAACACCATGCTCAGACTTAAAGGTGTCCATAAGTGTTCTTGGCACCAGGATACCTTAGGCCGCAGCTCGATGATCCACTTTGTTATTGTGTCATCTGACCTGCGGCTGCATGGCTTGGACACTCGGGTGAAGAGAGGGGCGGAGCTGTCAACTGACCACTACCTGGTGGTGAGTTGGCTCAGATGGTGGGGGAGGATGCTGGTCACACCAGGCAGGCCCAAACGTATCACGAGGGTCTGCTGGGAACGTCTGGCAGAGTCTCCTGTCAGAAGGAGCTTCAATTCCCACCTCCGACAGAACTTCCAAAATGTTCCGGGGGAGGTGGGGGGCATTGAGTCTGAATGGACCCTGTTCCGTGCCTCCATTTTTGAGGCGGCCGACCGGAGCTGTGGTTGCGGGATCGTCTGTGCCTGTCGTGGTGGCAACCCCCGAACTCGCTGGTGGACACTGGCGGTTAGAGATGCTGTCAAGCTGAAGAAAGAGTCCTATCAGGTCTTTTTGGCCTGTGGGACTCCAGAGGCAGCTGGCAGGTACCGGCAGTCCAAGCGGAACGCGGCTCGGGTGGTCGCCAAGGCAAAAACTCGGGCATGGGAGGAGTTCGGTGAGATCATGGAGCAAGACTTCCGTACGGCTTCAAGGAGATTCTGGTTCACCATCTGGTGCAACACGAAAGCAGTGCGCTACCAACACTATCGATAGTGGGGACGGTGTGCTGCTGACCTCTACTCAGGACGATGTGGATCAGTGGGCAGAATACTTCGAAGACCTCCTCAATCCCACGGACACGTCTTCCAGTCAGGAAGCAGAGTCTGGGGACTTTGGGTTGGCCTCTCAAATCTCTGGTGCTGAGGTCACTGAGGTGGTTATAAAGCTCCTCTGCGGCACGGCTCTAGGGGTGGATGAGATCCGATCGCAGTTCCTTAAGGCTCTGGATGTTGTGGGGCTGTGTTGGCTGACGTGGCTCTGCAATATTGCGTGAACATCGGGGGCAGTCCCACTGGACTGGCAGACCGGGGTGGTGGTCCCCTTATTTGAAAAGGGGGACCGCAGGTTGTGTTCCACCTACAGGGGGATCACACTCCTGAGCCTTCCTGGTAAGGTCTATTCAGGGGTTCTGGAGAGGAGGGTCCGTCGGAATGTTGAACCTCAGATTCAGGAGGAGCAATGTGGTTTTCGTCCTGGCCGTGGAACACTGGACCTGCTCTATGCCCTTAGGGGGATCCTGGAGGGTGTGTGGGAATTTGCCCAACCAGTCTACATGTGTTTTTGTGGATTTGGAGAAGGCGTTTGACCGCGTACCTCTGATATGGGCTGTTAGGTCCATGTATGAGCGGTGTCAGAGCTTGGTCCGCATTGCTGTCAGTAAGTCGGCTTGTTCCCAGTGAGAGTTGGACTCCGCCAAGGCCTTTGTCACCGATTCTGTTCATAACCTTTATGGACAGGATTTCTAAGTGCAGCCAAGGTGTGGAGGGCATCCATTTTGGTGGCCTGAGGATCAGGTCTCAGATTTTTGCAGATGATGTGGTCCTGTTGGCTTCATCAGAATGCTATCTTCAGCTTTCGCTGGAGCGGTTCGCAGCCGAGTGTGAAGCAGCTGAGATGAGAATCAGCTCCTCTAAATCTGAGACCATGGTCTTGATTTGGAAAAGAGTAGAATGCCTTCTCCTGGTCAGGGATGAGGTCCTGCCCCAAGTGGAGGAGTTTAAGTATCTCGGGGTCTTGTTCACAAGTGAGGGAAAACTGGAGCGTGAGATCGATAAGCGGATTGGTGCTGCATCTTCAGTGATGCGGGCGTTGTACCGGTCTGTCGTGGTCAAGAGAGAGCTGAGTCAGAAGGCGAAGCTCTCGATTTACCAGTCGATCTATGTTCCTACCCTCACCTATGGCCATGAGCTTTGGGTAGTTACCAAAAGAACGAGATCACAGATACAAGCAGCTGAAATGAGTTTTCCCCGAAGAGTGGCTGGGCTCTCCCTTAGAGATAGGGTGAGAAGCTTGGTCATTTGGGAGGGGCTCGGAGTAGACCCGCTGCTCCTCCACATCGAGAGGAGCCAGTTGAGGTGGCTCGGGCATCTGGTCAGGATGCCTCCCTGGTGAGGTTTTCTGGGCACGTCCAACCGGGAGGAGACCTAAAGGTAGACCCAGGACACGGTGGAGGAACTACGTCTCTCACCTGGCCAGGGAACGCCTTGGGATTCCCCCGGAGGAGCTGGCCCAAGTGGCTGGGGAGAGGGAAGTCTGGGCTTCTCACCTTAGGCTACTGCCCCCACGACCCGACTCCGGATAAGCGGATGAAAATGAATGGATGGATGAATGGGTGATGAGACATTCACTTTTACAGATTTCTGAAAAATTATATATATTTCTGAAAGGGGAAAACTCCAGAAAGATACTTTAAGTGCGGAATGTGACCACACCTCTTTTGCACTCTTGATCTGCACTTTGCCCAAGTCTGCGTTGATGCGAAATTGGGCCCTTCTTGTGCTTTTTATTGACAATTGGCTAACTGAAAATGCTAACCACTAGCATAACAGCTAACTGCAGCTAAAGCAGGTAAAAAGCAACCCCTAGGACACCTACCCCCTCCACAAAACTACTAAGTGCAGTTTTCGCTCAGCAGAGGGCTGCAGAGTGGTGTCAGATATGAAACCGGTCACATTTCTAACTCAACAGTCACTGAGATCAACGTTAGAGCTCTAGCTTAAAGTTTAAAAAAACATCTATTGTTACTTTGTTGTAAGGTTTAAGTTCACTTCTCACTCATTTACAATTATGAGCCAACTAATACACCTCTGTCAGCACGCCCCAGGGCAGCCTGTGGCTACATTGTAGCTCATCACCATCAGTGTGTGTGTGTGTGTGTGTGTGTGTGTGTGTGTGTGTGTGTGTGTGTGTGTGTGTGTGTGTGTGTGTGTGTGTGTGTGTGTGTGTGTGTGTGTGTGTGTGTGTGTGTGTGTGTGTGTGTGTGTGTGTGTGTGTGTGTGTGAATGGATGAATGATACACTGTACTGTAAAGCACTTTGGAGTGGTCTGACTCTGAAAGGTGCTATACAAGTGTGGGTCATCTATCATTTATCATAATGCACAATCCAGTCGGGCCAACATCACATTACTTCAATAGCTGTTAAAGGAGGGAGAGGCAGCACTATGGACTGATGAATGACTAAGATGTTTCACCCCGTAGGATATCGATATCGCTGGAGCGCTGTTACACTTTCACTAGTTGCCACAGGTGTTCTGTGTTTATCTGTTAGTGTGGTAGATTTTACAGCTGCAGCCTCATGAGGGGGTCATGATTCTGCTCCCAAATCGAACCTCTCCCCTAAAGTGATGTGTGTTATATCAGCTCAGGTGATGTTGAGAGATGAGTTGAGCTCAGGCCTGCAGGCATCACCTGAGAGCAGGTAAACCTGGAGGGGGGAGGGCATCTGGTTGGCGCCCTTATCAGGATTCTGGTGTTTGCTTCAAGGTTACTCAGGCGCAACAGTGCAGGAGTGGGGTCAGCTGATCAATACACTCTACCCCATACAGAAGACAAGTCAGCTGGGGATTTTGGAGGAATGCTTCAAATATTTTTTTTTCTGTCTGATTAGAGAAGAAGCTAGAAATAAAAGTGTGCAGCTGCTGAGGAGCTTAACTCCAGTGAGTAAAAAGCAATGATTTTTAATTGAGATAAGGTTTTATTTTTCTATTTTTTTCTGTTGGAGATTACTTCTCTGGGAGGTGCTTTTTTTTTCTGCTTGCGTGACCACCAAAGAGTCGTCATTGCATTATTGTCTTTGGAAGCAATTACTTTAAAAATCCAGACTAATGTCATTACAGCACATTTCTCTGAAGATTTTCAATTACACTGGTACTTAGCTCGCACCATGTAAACTACTCTAGGTGAAATGGATCCCATCTTGTGAGCGAGATAAAAGCTGAGGCCAGAAGAGGCCAGAGAGGGACTGAGACGCAGAAACAGCAAAGGGGCTTAATGAGTGAGCGGGAAGAGGAGGAAGTATGCGGGGAGGTTTCCGGCGTGCAGCGACAAGAGGCAAACCAAAATACAGAGATTACAGAAGAAGTGACAACTAGTGAAAGCAGATGGTGAGGAGCAGAAAATGAGCAAGAAGGATGGCAGACTGGATAAAACTGTTGGTTGAGATGAATGGATTTTAAAGGTCAGGCCAGCATGTTGTATAATTCAGCACACAATAGCTGTGATTGATGCGTGTGCCTGTTCTGCTTCCGCAGTATTCCTCTCTGAGTTTTAGCCGAGCCACCGAGGCTTTGAGTTTAAGCTGGGAGGAGTACAAATTGTTTTAATAGGTTTCTGAGGAACTGTAGTCTTTGATAAGACAGGGAAACAGAGAGCCAACATCAAAGGGAATAGGTGGAAAGGTGGTGCCTCCATTTCCACAAATGTTCCAATAGAAACTCTTTACTGTCCTCTCAAGGAAGTTTGCAGACCCTCAATCAATACTACCGTTTACTTTTTTTGTTATTCATTATGTGCTATTCACTTCAAATAAGTTTTTTATTACTTTTCACAAAAAAAATAACAAATTTATTCTTTTAGTTATGCCAGTGGGGTGTTTACTAGAGCTTCGAAATGTGTAGCCCAACTCTCCGCTCCCATTTCGTTTGCACCCAAAGACATGTTTTTCTGCTCAGAATCTCTGTTTAATTATGTGAGAGTGCTCCCTGCTGCGCTAACACGCTCTCTGGCACCCCTCAG